TCCTGCATGTCCTTCAAGATCCACTCCAGAGTCATCTACTCTGTGAGCCCCCAACTCCCTGTCCCCCAGCTCTCACACAGCCTCTTTTGCAGCCTTTTAGGGGGCTCTGTGGGCTCATGGCTCAGGTGCCCAGCTCCCCCCGGACTTGCAGTCAGGCAGGACACAGGCACCTCCTGCCTGGCACTGGGCACGGCACCAGTAAGCGCTTGAAGAGTGTGTGGGTGAAGGATGGGTAGGGTTGGCCAAGGGGAGAACATTGCAGGCTAGGAGCCGCGGGGTCAGGGGCACAGACCTGCTTCAGCCTCTGCCCCACCCCCAGTTGCCCGTGGGGGAGGAAAGTGGTTCAAAGGCCAGACCAGGAATTGGATTCCACCTGAGGGGCCTTTGAGGGTGACCCTGGTCTCTTGGCAAATGATCAGCCCCGGGCAGGTGGGTGGTCTGAGCAGGGGTAGGGGGTCTCCTGGCTCCCCACAGCCCTGGCCTGCCCAGCTCTGCATCCTTCAATGCCGGCCTCTGTAGTTTAACCCAGGCCTGGAGTCCACAAAGTGGGGAAAGGACCCCTTCTGGCAGCTGGACACGCTTTCTGAGTCCCCCGCTGCCTGCTCTGTCACTGGTTCCTTCAGGCCCCACCTCTGTGTTAGCACTCACTGGGGACCAGACCCGCTGCTTTTTCTGCAGAGTGGTCATGTGGGGAGCGGGAGGGGGTAAAGCCCCACTGGGAGCAGGGGCCCTGGGATCTGGTCCCCACTGTGTAGCACCTGCCATGTCTCAGTTGCCACCTCTGCAGCATGAGGATGACAGTGCCCCCTGGGGCTCTTTTTCCACAGACTCCAATGGCTGGGAGGGCAGGGGTGACAGTGGTGTTCAGCACAGGCTGCTTGGAGTTTTGTTGCCCACCTGTCCACCCTCAGGAAGGGTCGTGAGGCCAGGCAGCGTGTGGGATTACATGTCCCTGGGGGACCAGGCGTGGCCTCGATGGCTCGATTCCAGTTTCAGCCCCCTCGATTTTCTCCAACCTTCTCTCTGGGCCCCAGCAAGAGCCAGTGTGACTGATCACCCCTGCCAGGCGAGCCCTCTCCACGCTGTTCACATCTCAGGTCCAGGCGGGACGACCGAGGCCCTGAGCCCAGAGAGGGCCAGGAACTTGGACCCGGCCGGCAGCACAGAGCAGGTCAATGGCAGAGCCAGGCCCGAGGCCCAGGGCCCTCCTCCCAGCAGCCTTCCAGCGCTGTTACCCCACCCCCACCTGGATGGCTTTCTGGGTGGGCTGCACCCTGAGAACTGACCAGATGGCGACGAGGAAACGTGAGCAGCAGGTTCCTCTTTGCAGCTTGGGGCCCAGCTCTCTCGTAGCCTTGGGTCAGTGATACTGAGTCACAGATACCCGTCTGGGCAGTTTTCCCCTCCCCTCCCCTCCCCCGCTCCCCTCCTTCCTCTGTACTCACATACACACACACAAACCCTGGTGGATCCAGTTGCTCCCCAGGACACAGCTCTTCCAGCCCGACGCTGAGCCTGAGTGGGCAGCCCCCCATTCAGCCACCTTCTTTGCTATAGGTAACTCCCCTGCCCCCAGTTAGCCTATGCTCCTAAGCACAGAGAGGCCCAGCTAGCACCCCGGGCTGTTTGCCTATTTGTTGCTTTATCATCTATTTTATTTTCTCAACCGTTTAAAAACTCTGTATAATCTATTTTAATTACTTTTAATTTTTTTATTTCACCTGTGATACATGATGACTGTAGAAAAATTAGAAAATAAAGGCCAGTCAAAAGAGAAGAAAAATTGTCTGTAATCCTGCCACCCAGAAATAATGGCTATTAATCTTTCGGTATTTTTAACCTCTGGGTAAATAATGTTTAAATATTTTCCCTTTGTGTGTGTTTATCGGAAATTTGGATCAGGTTGTTCTGTAATTTGCTTTAAATTGCTTTTCCTTAGGCAACCTGTAAAAATAGATAAGATAAAAAAATGATCTCACCACCTTTTCATTTGGTTGGACATTTAGATTTTCAGCTTTTCACCACTATAATTAGCACTGCAGTGCACATCCTTGGGACACCATGACATAGAGCCCACGCGTCTGGGATTATTTCCTTAGAATACATTTCTAACAGAGATTTCTGGACCAAAAGGCGTGGACATTTTTAAGGCTTTTGATTTTTATTGCTAAATTGCCCTCCAGCAGCCATGCATGAGTCTCCATTTCCCTGCTTCCTCAATCACACTGGCTGTTACATCTCTTTTGTCTTCTGTCCCCAAATCATTTATTGACTGTCCCAAGGGTCTCAAACTCAGCTGTCTGTGGGGGCCAACACGCACTGCAAATAAATGAAGCCGTGTAACCCGACGGGAATGTTTTAGGACAAGGATCTGCAGAAATTGCTGTTCCTGAGCCCCAACCGGTTGTGGCTTTGGGGAAATCTAGGTTTTTCATGTAAAATTGTTTAATTTGTAAATGTTGGCAGCTAAGTTTTAAATCATTATTTTACATGAAAGCTAGACATGAATGTGGACCACCAACCAGTCTGTGACTTCCAGAAGAGTCCATCGTCTCCCCACTGATTTCAAATGCTGTTTGTCTTGGAATAATTCTCATTTATATTTGGGTCTGCCTCTTCTACACCAATGTCTATTCCATATGGTTTTACTTATAATAGCTTTAAACTATGTTTTAACATCTGACGGGACAAACATCTCCCCGGTGACTCTTTTTTCAGGGTTTTTCTCCAACTCTCCAATGTATATTCTTCCAAACAAACTTCTGAATCAGGTTGGCAAGATCTCAAATAAATCTTTTGCAGATTTCAATTAAGAGTGTATTCATTTTACAGGAAAATGAAGAGAAGATTGCCATCATTACAGTAGTAAGCCTTTTCAATCAGGAAAGTTATCTAACTCCCTAAATATTTTACATCCTTTGGTAAAGCTTCTTGGTTTTCTTTGTGCACATTTCATATTTATTTTATACTTAGTTGTTTGGGGGTTTTTGGAGGGGGATTTTGTATTGTGAATTAGATCTTCTGTTATATAATATTTTTGAATAGGTGAATGCTGGTAGAAAAACTATTGTGTAGAAGAGCTACTGAGCTCCTTCTCATTCAAATATATATATATATTTTTACTAACTTTTTTTTTTTTGGCTGCGCTGCGCAGCATGTGGTATCCTAGTTCCCCAACCAGGGATCGAACCTGTGCCCCCTGCAGTGGAAGCACGGAGTCCAAACCACTGGTCTGCCAGGGAAGTCCTCATTCAAATAGTTTTTAAACTTATTATTTTTGGTTTTCCAGCAAATAATAATTTGCATCCTCCTTTCCAATATTTAGATATACTCTTTTATTTTTCTGACTAATTACATTGACTAGCACTCACGGGGGAAATGTTATATAATGATGGTGATGGTAGGAATCCCACTTTTATGGGAAAGTCTGTAGTACTTTTATCATTTAAGTATAATGTTAGGTGTTGATTTCAGGTAGAGAGTATCCTTTTGTTTATGTTTGAATAAGGATTTTAAGTTTTTTGTTGAAAAAAATAATATATACCTTAAAAATACTTTTTATTTTTATTAATAAATACTCTAAAAACTCAGTTCAGAAGTAGGTAAAGTAATAAGTGAAAGTTGGCCTTCTCTTATCACTCCTCTCCACTCCTGCCTCACAGAGACCATCAGTGTAAACACGTGGTGTATGCTTTTCAGATATTTTTCTGTGTACATACAACCATCTGGTCATAAGTGCAGCTATCAAGTTGATCAAAATATTTTTTGCTGCCTATTAATGTGATTTACAGTCACAGATTCCCAAACATTGATCCGTCCATGCATTCCTGGAATAAATCCTACTTGGTCGCAATGATTTACTCTTTCAAATGCTGTTGGACCTGATTTACTAATCTGTTATTTTATAAGATTTTTGCATCTGTATGTGTAAGTGCCATTGGTCCGTTTTGGATGCTACCTACTAGGTTCTGGTAGCAGGGTTCTTATTAACTTCCTAAAATAAACTGGGAGGCTTTCACTTTTTTGCCCCATGCTCTGGAACAGTTCAAGTAGCATAGGTATTGTTTCTGCCCCTGGAACTTATGATAGGACTAATATGTACATCTCCGTGAATTCAGTAGTGCCCTTTGTTGGGAGGAGGGGTACAGGAATGCAGTTCTGTGACAGTTTTTGGAGTTTTCCCCAAAGCGATTCATCTTTCCAAATTCTCCTTGAGTTTTCCTTAAAAAACAAATTCCAATATCACTATAGGCATAGAGTCAGAACACATCTCTGTCCCAGGGCAGAAGCTGGCCTTCGTACCCCAGAAGACACCTCTTCAGTTCCACTAATACCCACAGGCCTTCTCCCAAATCCTCATCCCTTGCAGGGAGCCCCTGACATGGGAGGCAAAACGCTAATAGCTACCAGTTGAGGCCAGGTGGTTTTAAATACTAACGCCATCCTTTTTAATCCTCCCAAGTGTGAGGAGGGTAGGACAATCCGCATTTAACTGATAGGGAAATCTGTTCTCCAGTGGGTTAACCCACTTGCCCAAGGCCACGCAGCTAGTGAGAGGTGTAGGCAGGGCTCCAACCTCAGTCTGACTCACATCCCTGCTGCAGCCACCCCACAAAACTTTGAAGGTGTAAGCCAACCCTCACACACCCCAACATCACATCCCAAATGTCAAGGTCAAGTGGGAAATGTAACCGTTGCAAATACTGTGGTCCTGTCAAAAGCGCATGAAACCAGATGCATAAAGTGTGATATATAGTCCCGGTTCCGTGTTTGGGGACAATATTAAAAAAAAGGCAAATTTTCCTCAATGCCGAAAGTAAGAGCAAAGAAAGCCCTCAAATGCCCCCTCGTGGAGGGTCCCAGCTTGATCCTGTCACTCTGTTATCCGTTGCCCGCCTTTGACCCAAAGGACAGGGTTTGGGTTTTCCCCTCCAGGTCTGTGTTTCCAAGCCTTGGAACTTCCTTGTGATTTCAGGCCCTTTTATAGGAGCATGTGACTGGCCAAGTGGGCTCATGGCATTTGCTTTGCGTTTACTGTACAGGTGCTCTGAACCAGGTGCTGATGTGCTGGCCTGGGTAGCCTGACTTACAGGGAGGGCCTGGACCCACCGCTGTTGGCTCTGGAAGCTGGGGCAGACGCTTAACCCCTTAGCCTCAGCTTCCTCACCAGAAAAACAGGGGTGGGGGTACTAATAGCTACCTCTCGGGGTGGTTAGGGATTAAATTGAGTAAAGCAGTGCACACGGGGTTAACCCAAAGCCCAGCACAGAGTGAGCATTTGCTAAACAGTGGCTGACATTTTGTGTGTGAGTTGGGCAAGCAGTGACGTGCTCCGCCGGAGAGGGCTGGGCGGCAGGGCGACAAGAGTCGGGTGGACCCTGATGGGGGATTGGGTGGCTATGCTGAAGGGCCTGCTAAGGATGGGCCTAGGAGCATGTCACTGGGCCAGGACACTTAGAAGAAGACCAGGGTTGATCCGGCTTTGGGGGTAGCAGGGAAGGTGGGCCCCGGAGATACGGGGTCACCCCTCCATCCAGGCCCCAGCAGCCCTGGGCCTCACCACAGCCCCTGTCAATACCCCTGACACCTGTCCGCCTGTCTGGCAGCACTTCCTGGACACAATTTCATCTGAACCTAATTTGTACCTGCCTGGGGTTAGGAGGGGAGGGCTGTTCTTCGGGATATCAGGGACCTGGACAACAGGACACAGGGCCGCAGAGGAATAATGGAGGAGGGGCTTCCAACTGAGACAGGGTCAGGATGTCTCACACCCTTGCGGGTCCACGCAGCATGTAGGTGGGCTTGTGTCCCAGGGCCCCCCCCGAGCAAGGTGGGAGGGTGAGGGAGCTGGGGACCTGACGCGTCAGCGAGGAGGGCCAGGCCCAGGGCAGTGGGCTCCATCCCAACCTCCCCCAGCTGGAGAGAGGCTGTGGATGGCCGTTCTCAGGGGCTTCACAGGATGTGAGGGCTTCCGGAAGCTCTTCCAGAGACCCAACCCTCAGGGCCTAGGCTGCGGGCAGGGGTAGCAAACTGGGCCAGGACTTCAGTGAGGTCAGGAGTGGGGAGCGGCAGGGGTGGTATGGGGAGGAGGGGTTAAGAGCCTCTGCTCTGGATTTCCGGTCCCGGGTTCCAGCCGTGGTCCCTGAGACTTCCTAGTTGTGTGGTGTTAGACTCTTTTAACCTCTTCAGGCCTCAGTTTGCTGAGCTGTAAGAGGTGACATGCCCGGCACATAGAAGACTCTTAAGAGAGTCCAAAGAGGAAAAAAATAAGATCAGATGGCAAGCCCTTGCGGGTGGGGGGATGGGCAGTGGCAGCAGTGGCCGTGGTGTTGGTGGTCATGGGAATGGCCAGGATTCAATCTAGTCATCAGCATAGGGGTCTGGGCAGAACTTGCCTCCCTTACAAATCCCCCATCCTGTGGGCAGAGCAGATGGTCTCCCCAGGCTCCTGGCCAAAGTGGGTCTCCAGCGTGAGGGGCCAGGGTGCAGGCAGGGTGGTGCTGGGCCTCTGAGGGCCCGGGGACTGCATCCTCTCCATCACTCTTTCTCTGCTTCCCTCGCAGGCTCCACGCGCGCTTCTATGAGCTGGCCCCCAACCTCGTCCCGATGGACTACAGGAAGAGCCCCATCGTCCACGTGCCCATGAGCCTCATCATCCAGATGCCGGAGCTCCGGGTACGTGAGAGGCTGCTGCTCGGCAGAGCCGGGGGGATCAGCTAGAGAAGGCCGGGCAGGGGGGCCGGGAGTTTGGGGAATATGCCCCTCTGGATGGGCAGGGCAGCAGGGGCACCCAGACCTGAGTTGAACCCCAGCTGTGCCTCAGTTTCCTCATCTGCACCCTGTGAATAAATGAGCCACGTGTGTAAGTAAATGAGCTTACTCGGTAAGGGTGCCGTGATTGGTGCTGCCCTATAGTCTGCAGGGCCGTGCTCACCTGCTTGCCCCTGTGTTAAGTGGCCCGTCTGCTGTCCTTGGCAGATCTTGTTTGTGTC